TTATGGTAACGAAGTGTAAATGAATAAATATACTTCTTAAAATAAACTATTTTGCATGTTCTAAGGTCGTTTTCATTTAATTAAATTGTCTGACGTGGTCTGTTTACTTATAATCGTGTAAATTAACGTGAAGAGAATTCTGGCATTTTTTGTATACATTTTTGATGAATTCTTTTAAACCGACTTGCTACAGAACAAATATCCTGAGCCAAAATATATTATTATTTCAATAAATTTGAAACTAAGGTAAAATCTACGGGATTAATAAATACGGGAATTATGGATTGTAAATCTTTCTATAACATTCATATTGCGTCCTACTCAAAAATCAGAACTTCGAACCCCGGGCTCCCCTACAAGGCCAAACAATAAAAAGTGATCGGCAAAAAAGTCAAGAAGATATTTTAACTTTTTCAAATTATAAAAAGTTACAAATGCAAAAACTTAATAACCAGTGTGACCAAAATCGCAGCTTGCTCGCAGCCCTTCTGGGCATTTTTCCTTGGGCTTTCCACGATATTTTTAATGAAATTTTGAGGAATACGTTCCCACTCTTCTGCAATAACTCTTTTTAGCTACCTGATGTTTTGTGGAGTAGGCTGCACGGATCTTACTCATCTTTTAAGAATACTACATTATCAATTGGATTGACATCAGGAGCTGGCCAACCTAAACAATGGAACCCATGTTCTTGCATGTACGCTTTCACCGCGCCAGAACGGTGCGAGCATTTTCGTACATAAAAATGGAATCTTAGAACCAAAATTTCCTTAGGTGCCGGTTTTTTTGCAAAAGAATTTTTATTTTCTAAATTTTTCTGTCATGTAACCCTTTATAATAAACATTTTAATTGTAAACACGACAGAACAAATGACAGTTGATTACTTTTGTTTTTTTTTATTCTAGCTTTTTACATTACATTAATTTCTCAACGAATAAAGATTACGCTAGTAGCATAACTAGCATTTTTTGGTCACATACAATAACTTGTGAAATTATGCATGTGATCTTCACTAAACAAATAATTGTCATTCAAGTGAAAATTTACCAAAAATTCTTATGAAAACTGACCCAAACAGAAAACAGACTTGTAATATATATCTATGGTTCGCTTTATAGTAACAAATAAATAACTATATCCATATTGATTAATCAATATTATTCGTCTGTTTCCCGGAACAAAGAGCGTGACAACAATGCATAATTGCTAACAAATATAAGTTAATATGTCTGTTTGTAAGCTAATCGCGTGTGTTATTAAATCACTCAACGACACCACGATGAGTTCTTCTTACTTTGACGATTCCCTAAATTATTCTCAAGTGGAATACTAATTTGACTAAAACATTCCTAGATCTTTTAATGAGATCATAGATAATATAACTTAAGATTGTTTATCTTTTTAAAATTATATCTTTCCTCTATGGTAAGACATTGACGGACACCACCTGACATCGCGATATAAGGTTAACTTCAATTAGTAATATGTCAAATTCGACTGGCAATAGCGGCAAACTTTGTTTATAACCCCAAAGAGACCGACATCCCGTGTGACGTTTGGTGGCATAAAAAGTAAAAATAAATATTAATAACCAATCAGCAACAATGATGTTATCGCCTATGCAAAAATATTAATCGACAGTGACCGACTGTGGCATATAAAAACTGTCCATCTGTTTATCTGTGGTCCCGTTACTGACATTTACTTTCACCTTTCCTGTACGCCCCCTCTGTCACGCGAACATACAAACTCACATCATTCATTTGCACTTGGTATTTAACACTTAATAAGTTATATTATTGCAGGTCACAAATGTTATAGAAAAAATGCTAGGTCTCTTTCATTTTGTTTCTTTCAAATTATAAAGATACTAGCCGTTTCCCGCCCGCTTTGCTGGGCGAATTAAAATAGGAAATAAATAAAATTTTATGTTTCATTATTATTATTTTTTTCATATTTTTATTATTCTTCTTTTTAACTTCTCGCTAAGAAAATCGAGTTTTTAACAGATGTTGACGTTCTGAGGTTCTAGGAAAGCCTCCCCGAATGTTTTCGCGGTGAAGTATGTATAAATTTTCATAAAAGTAAAACATCAATAAAAAATGAAGGAACGTTGTAATTTAAAAAAATAAATAGCCATAAACCATTTAGGAAAAATTTCGCATCGAATGGCAGTAATTTCATGTCGATACGATCAGTGGTTTAGGCGTGAAGGAGCCTCAAACGAAGACCATTTTTCTTATATATATATAGAAGAAGATATGTGTATGTAATGGTTTTTGTCTTGACATTCGAATTTGAAATTTTTACTTCTTTCCATTAACCTATAACCTCTAATTATAAATTATTAAGTGAAGTAAGTATAACAATTTTGTCTTGACTCTTATCGGTTGAATTAGTACATATTGTTTGTGCAATGTGAATATAAAACGCAGACCAAGGAGCAATACTAAGGTTTTGTAGGAAAATAATTAAACGTTTGACCTAATTTATGTTTGAACTATGAATTAAAAGTTCGGTTTATACTAATTGTACGTATAAAATAAACAACAATGTCATCTTTGAAATTATAATTTTAAATAAATCAGTGGCGCTACAGCCTCTTTTAGGACTTGGCCTCAGATTTCTGAATCTGTTTCATGATCATTTTTAAATCTAATAGGCAAAGAAGGTGATCAGCCTGACACACGCCGTCAACTTTTTGGGTCTAAGACATGTCGGTTTCCTCACGATGTTTTCCTTCACCGTTCGAGCAAATGTTAAATGCGCACATAGAAAGAAAGTCCATTGGTGCACAGCCGGGGATCGAACCTACGACCTCAGGTATGAGAGTCGCACGCTGAAGCCACTAGGCCAACACTGCTCTAATTTATAATTTAGAGCAGTATTGCAAATTATAATTTTACCGTGTACGTTTTTTTGGTACGTCCCGGCTTCGCCCGGCGGGACTTTTTCTGAAGATAAATAGGGTAGGGCGGGGCTAGTTGAGCAATTTTTCACTTGCTTGGATATAGCTCCTCAATGATAAGTCTCAATGAGTTGTTATGTGTCCTGATGGATTAGTAATTTATCCCTTAACAAAAGTGTCCATAGTATTTTTTTGTAACAAGTCCAATATAATAGCTACAGATGTTTAAATGCAGAAAGTCAAGTATGCTCAATGTACCCCATAGGTGGGGTAAGTTGAGCAAGGGTATGGGGCAAGTTGAGCACTAAGAATGTCTAGGCCAAACCATGGGTTCTATGTTAACTTGAGATGAAATAAAATATGTGTTAGACAGTCAGCTTTTTATTTATAGTCTTTTATTGACAGAACAACAAAATATAAAGAAATTTTCTTTGTATAATTAACCGAAACTAGAATCAACAAAACATGAGCATCCATATCTATCCATTACTTCCGATAATTTCTAAAAAAGATTACCAAGGCTGGTGGGTTCTGGTTTCTGTATGGATAGCTACGATTTTTTTGTTTTTAAAACATCATCAACCATTCTTTTCCGGAAATCTTTTTTGCAATTCAGCTTGGTGGAATTTCAGCACACTCTTAGGCAAGGCGACGGACGTCTTTAGGAGAAAAATGCCACTTGTAGCAAGAATTTTTTTCAACAGTTCAGGATATACTTCCCTCGGTGTTGTATAGGTTGCATAAATGAATCATTACCTTCATTTAATTAATTTAAAAGTCAACCAATACCGAATTCTTTAGCGGCGGTATTCACACTTTTTCCCTCATCGTGGACAGCCTTTGCAGCATTATTTAAGTATTCAGTAGTGTAAGAACATCTTGTAGTCTTCCTCTTGTAAGTCCGCATCCAAACAAAAAATTAAAGATTCATTACTCATCAGTTGTTTAAGTCGTAGAGTTAGTTGAGCTATAGTTGCTCAACTTACCCCAACCCGGAATTTTAAAAGAAAAGTAGGATTGTAAATAAATGCCTAGAATTAGACCCAAAACCTATTTACAAATCAAAAATACAATAATCTTCTGAAAGATTAACACTCTCCTGATTGAAAATAGAGAACATTTGACAAAGACAGACGAAAACTTGCGATAAACAATGTTTTTACTTTTTGGTCACAAAATAAACAAAACGCCGTGACACTTCACTCACTCGTCGAGCTGCCACTAGCTATCGTGCGATGATTACCTCTCCTACGGCTCCTTCTTTTCGCTATTTGATACACCCGCGTAAGGTGAATAGTTTCCGAGATATTTCGATTGCCCAACTTGCCCCTATGCTCAACTAGCCCCGCTCTACCCTAGACAAAGCCTATACGAGTATAGGATATACATGGGTATTTTCGACAGGGATAATGAACATTCTAAACAAAAGAGAATTTTTAAATCAATCAATCGATAGAAACTTTTCAAAATTAATGGTTTTATAATTTTAGTATCGAATACTCGGGCTATAGTGGTTTTCTTTTATTCCGTATTAGGCTAACGCAAGACGATTTAAACAGGTCGTTATTAATTAGGTTAATTTCAAAGCAAGGCACGGCACGAATACGTACGTTCAAACCGAGCAGGTGTCTTAATTGACGTCATCGTTTACTAATTTTTTTATGTCTTCATAAAGTCAGAGGGAAGCTGTACGGGAGGAGGAGGGGGTTAAGGGGAGAAGTTTGTTTGCGGAAGCGAGGCCTTTTGTTTATTCTCGAATGAAATGTTATTAGTTCTCGACAAATACCCCACATTCTTGTTTCAGAATTAAACTGAAATGCTTTTGCGAGTTTTATAGAGCGAGGTCCGCGTGCGGGTACTGTTTATTCTCATCGACATTTGTTTGTTACCATTCCCGGAGGATCACGTAGGAAAATATTGTTTTACAATGTTTGCACTGTATTGCAATATTATCAAATAGCTACTTGGTCAAATCGCTTGCTGGAATATATTCTAAACAGTTGGTTTATGAGACATTCAGTACAAATCTTTGGCTGTTTTATACTCGTAAAATGGACATAAGTGATTATAAGATTTGCTGCTATAGTTACAATGTACAATATAACGTGGCTGTTACCAGATGTTATCCGTGGTATCTACGGTAACGTCCGGTACGGTACGTATCTCCCTCCTGGTTTCTTCTATCTATGTTTACCATAGTCATTTGTGTGATGATTTGATATTTTAAAAGAATACCGAGAGTTTTTTACGCCGGATTTTTCTCTCGGCTTACACCCTCTGTCTTCTTTGGCGATGAGTAAGGATGTCTACCTATACAAATTTTATGACGAGGAATAAGTGATACCTGTATCTTATATTCCATAACTAACATATTATATTTTATTTTCTTCTATAACTCTTTCCACGGTTGTCTTTATTGTCTGCCGTATGTGTGCCCGATACGTTAAACCCAAACCTTTGAGGTGATCCACCTGACTCATTCACTCAAAATCAGATGAGCCTATTTGACCGACTTATAAAAAACGTAGGCGTTATTCGTACCACTTAGGTACGTGTATTTTACATAATGCTCATAAGGCAAATTTTATTTTCTAGGCAAAACGAAGGCCCCTTTGTCGAGGTGTCGAGTGGAGAAAATTAGTGCAATTGGGTGTGTAAGAAGTGCAGTGAGGGAACTTAACAGTTATCAAATGAGGTGATGTGGAAACCGGCCCTGATAGCCACTGGCTTGGGGTTGGAGATACTTTTCTTTACGGTTTTTTCACATTCGAAATTAAATAAAAGAACTATTTAATACGACAATATTTGAATGAAATAACGTTTTTTGTTTTTATTTTGATGTAATTATTACGTGATTGATAGAGATTCTGAAAATACTTGGACGTCCGCAGACTGCACAGTATTTTGTTTTTAATTTACTTATTTTAAAACCCAATAAATTCACACATTACTGACCTAGGGCACGTAATGTGAGCACTGACCATTTCAGTATAAATGGTATATTTTGACTAGTTTTCTTATAAGACTTATAACGTATGGTAATATATGGAATGCATAAAACGATTGCTTATTGAATTACAGCATATGGTATTATGAATTTAGCTAACGTTGTGTTACACCAAGTTACAAATTAATATTTATTGTGAAAATTTAAGTTTGATAATGTGTGCAATGACCATTTCAGTACAAATGGTATATTTTGACTAGTTTTCTTATAAGACTTATAACTATGGTAATATATGGAATGCATAAAACGATTGCTTATTGAATTACAGCATATGGTATTATGAATTTAGCTAACGTTGTGTTACACCAAGTTACAAATTAATATTTATTGTGAAAATTTAAGTTTGATAATGTGTGCAATGACCATTTCAGTATAAATGGTATATTTTGACTAGTTTTCTTATAAGACTTATAACGTATGGTAATATATGGAATGCATAAAACGATTGCTTATTGAATTACAGCATATGGTATTATGAATTTAGCTAACGTTGTGTTACACCAAGTTCCAAATTAATATTTATTGTGAAAATTTAAGTTTGATAATGTGTGCAATGAAATATCAATAGAGTCCAGCGGCCGAGCGGAAGTCGCTCGAGCCTTATCGAGCCGCACATTCACTCAGCCCATCTACCGTGCCCCGTACCCCCTGCCCCCCTCTTCCCGAGACCCCCTGCCTCCTCCCGGAACCCCGCGAATTTACAATGTAGGCGACTCACACCGCGATGCTTCAGCGGAGGGCGGTTTTCCCTCGCGTCGGTGTGCGTACAATTTTCTCGCCTGTAAATTCTAATGCGAAGTGCGACGGCGATAAAAAATGAGTAGCTCCAGCTCTAGCGTGAATATATTAGAGCGAGAGGGCTGGGCGCCGCCCTACGCCGCCCGCCCGCTGATAAATATGTATTTTACAGCTGAATCCTTTGTGACACACACATTGCTCACTTTACATATATGTATATTAACATAACATACAATTGGCTCCTGACATACATGACCATAGATTATAGATACTATTTTGTATTATACGGTGAAGTAAAATATTAAATCGAGTATAACATTTGATTAGCATATTATGAATAGGTAATATAGTTACCATAGACTAAGAACATAACACTAAAATTAGACCATAGACCATATGATATTTTTTTAAATAATAGAATTTAAATGAATATGACATAATTAATTTCTAACACCACTTGAAGTGTTTACAACAGAAGGGTTGCTAACAATATCTAATGGCTAATTAGTTCCGGAGGGGCGCTAAGTGGTGACAAAGAGGCTATAATTGCAGCAAAAAACGTTAGAACTTGTTTTTGTCGCATGTGCGTCTTTCTAACGCGACCCACACCTGTGAGGCACGAGACCAACGTCGCTAAGGGTTTCTATTCACTTGCGATTTAAACACGGGTATTGTTAGGTTCCTTTGAATTTCTATGATGTCAACAAAATTCATAGAATATTTAATAAAAGTAGGCCATTGATAAAACCTCTTTAATGCAAATATTACATTCAAAATATAAAATTTTATTCTTTTTCATATGCATCTACGCCATTGCTTGACCACTACGATGACTTCACGGCGTCTGTCATGCCCCAACGTGTATTTTGTTCTAAATTTAAAATCTCATGAACATCTTTACTAACAATTTTAAAAAATGGCGGCCACTTTTATGTTCTAGAAAGTATATGAAAGTTTCATGATCACTACTTTGTCTTCCGAGATTCCGGTTTTAACTTGTGAATAAATATCAATTATTTCTTTAGTAAAATTCAAGGCAATAAGGTATGAAACGTCTTAAGACAGGAAGGCGAATATAAATCGATTACGGCCTAAACGTTTCGTGAATTAACGCCCTTAATAATATCAACCCTTGCCGTGTCACGTGGTGGTTATTTTTTATTAGATATACCTGCTGCGATCAGCTTACTTAAAGGGCGCTATCAATATTAGATCAATTATTTTATTCACATTTTCACCCTACGCATTCTTCTCATTCTTTGAACACGTTTTTCTATTAAGCGAACAATATTAATTTCGGTTCATACAAGTACATATACCTTCGTACACGACATTTATATGTTTATAAATTTTCTTTACTCATATATAATAATTATGATATACAAGGTAAAATGCTTATTTGTATATTTTTTAATTGATTTATGCACTTTTTGTTGGAAGAAATCGCTTGTTGGCGATAAGGCCGCCCGTTGCCCTAATAATTGAAGATTTATATGTACTTAATATGTAATGCAATATAGTCTTAATAAATAAATTAAAATTACTCTTTCATAAGGAGTACTATGTTTGACTAATTTTGCCTTAAAAATCTTAAAACAGTAAGTGGAGTTCAAAGACTCAAAGCTAGTTTGGTGAAACATAGAGTATCCATATTTATAAATCCGTTTTAAAATTATACTTCTATCGTTAGACAAAAAATAAACTAAAATTTATTTTACAGCGTAGCAGTGTGTCCCGATCGTGGCTGCACTACCCTGAGTCGCGGCTGCAGCGACTGCTTAATTCAGCCTGCCCATCTAATTGTCTGCCCGATTACCCGTCATCATGTCTGCCCATGCGCCCTCACTCACCGGACTCGCCTATCGACTGTACCTATGCTGCAGGTATGCATACTTAGTTAAAAACCAGGAATATATGGCGCCTCTATATGTTTCACGTTAGCATGTGCTTAGAACTTAGAACGAAAAAGACAGAACATATGTCCTGCTTTGTCTTGGATTTGTCATATGTATTTAAAAATATTCTAGAAAGTAAGAATTGTATATCTCAATTAAGTCAAGAGTAAGTCTCAATTGTATAAATATGTCAATATGTCAATGAAATATGTCAATTTTGAGGCTTGATATTTCACAGATTTTGAATTTGGAATTCTATAATTTAAAACGTAGTCATAAACATATAAGCTGTGGAGTTTGAGATTTGATATTTCAAACAGATTTTGAATTTGGAATACTATAATTTCGAACACAGACGAATGGCTAGTTCTATGAATTGTCATGTATTTTCTGCGTATCATTTTTGAATGATCAGCATCATGTCAAGTTAAAACAATTATCAAAAATCAAACCCCGGAATTTCGGGCTATACGCCATGTGGGTTAAGTCCATGGTAACAAGTGTGCAGTTTTGGTACTGACGTTAATTAAGTTTGCAATGTACCGTATCAGGAAGCAGCTGCAACGCTCTGAAGGTCAATAGCAGATCTGTAGGTCAGTTACTTGCATATAATTGAAACTGGTTCAAGTTAACGGCGTTCAACAAGGTCAATTTGTTCTTCATTAATAATAAATAATAATATAATAATCAATCAATATCCATTTATTAAATATTACAGGCGTATAACGTTTCAAGTCTTAAAGGATTTAACAGGTATTGAAAATAATGTTTAGTTCAAAATTATATGGCCTGCCATGTATCACATTATATGTTTGTGTAAAAACTTAATACAAAATATTTAAACAGACCAAAGAGCTCGGACCTTATACAACAACTATGAAACACAAATTTCTGAAGACTATAAATATAGACAACCAAGGGACAACTATTTCCAAAAAGACAAAAGACATCTATTATTTCGCAGCTAGTAGAGTTTTTTTTTTAATTTTAGTATTTTTCTTTTTTATTGATATATATACAATGATATATGATAAATATACACTGAAGAAGGATTTTTGGAAGTGAAAAATGTTTTGGGTGACAGGGTCAAGATTAATTGACACTTCTGATAGTACACCCCAACCCTTACAGCAGCCGGCGCCCGCGCACAACTGGACAAACCATCTGACGATACACCGATATAGAGATCTAGAAATATCGTTTATTTCGCTGTACTCTGCGGTCCCACCCGCATGAATTCGGCCGTAGCACGATGTTCTTTAGCCTAAAGTGATTCTCAATAAAAATACTTTTCAATGTTTCGTTAGACATATACAATCGCGGACTTTTTAGTAGATGATGATGTCTTCTATAAAACTTAGTTGCCGCAGCGTACGAGAAACAGAAATTTGTATTTGTCTTTTTCACACCTTGGGTTACATTATCGTAATTTCATAAAGAACCCTAGCATTTTAGAAAATATTTGATAGCCTATGTTCATCAGGGATAACGTAGGGTTCTAATAGTAAAAGAATTGTTTAAATCGGTCAAGTAGTTTCGGAGCCTTTAGTATTCAATGCAATTGTTTGCACAATCGAATATTTCCTCTTTTTAATAATTATAAAAAATTTAACTAAAATTATTTTAGTATAGATAAGGGTTGAAAAAGACATGTGTTTCATTGATAACAGTAGCTATACCTAACCAGTTATTTTGCCAGGATTCAAACTAGAGTGGTATTTTTTAAAAGTATTTAACTTAGTATGACTTGACTAAATACCTAATGCGCAGGGCACAAACGTCTAACCTTGCGATTAATTTAGTAAGACTGGCCTTTTCAACCATTTCAAACCACAAAAACATATTTACTTCAATTGGTAAAAAATAAATAATAATATAACCATTTACGCTTTCTAATTCGAATGAATACTGAAAATATGCGCATTGAATTATTTTATTAAATAAGTAAAAACATATTTCAATAAATAATTATCGATAAAATCAATAATACATATAGTAATTATTTATTACACGCAAAATAACGCTACTTAACTGGTCTAGGCGAGAATAAAATTGGTATAATGTTGCCATATTTTATATTAATAAGGATTATTTATGTTTAATCATATTTTGATGTGAATGCCATAAGTGGAATTTTTTTTATCGTATAATATTTATTAGTGATCGAGACTTTGGCTGGGTAAAATAAAAATGTTTTTGCATTGCTTGATGACATAAAAACAGGCAAACTTTTGAATCGCCTATTCGTACTTCATTCAAACACATTGATTTCTTCTAATCATAAATGATTTAGTTCTAATATTTTAACAAGTAGAATTCGACGAATTCCATTTTTAAAAATGTTCGACAAGTTTGCGAAACGGTAGAATTCGATAAATTCCATTTTCAAAAATATTCGACAAGTTTGCGAAACGGCTCTTCCGGTGTTTATGTGTCTTTGTTGCGTCTAATTTCGGTTACTGCTATAAATCTGCATTCGGGGTGAGGGGAGGCCAGGTGCGGGGGCGGCAGATGTCACGCGGCTGACCCACATCTCACCTACGTATTATCAACATATTGGCACGCTTCATTTTTTTGTAACGCACACGATACTTTAAAGTTATCGTTAACCTTTGCAGGTATTGTCAAATCATTAATTGCATTTAAATTTTAGTGCCATTAATATAAATGTATGTCTTTTTATCAAGTTTATTTTCTTATTTTTTTAGACAGAACTGGCCAGACGTTTGGCCACATTCCCATCTGAAGTGAGATGTGGTCTATGGGAGGGCACGCCTGTCCAGGAGATGCCTATTTAACCGCCGCTTAAATGAACCCATTCTAAACTTTAAAATTTGTACCTGGATTAGATGTAAAAAATTGATTAATAATTTAAGTTACTTGCATAAAAAATCACAATTAATTATTTTTCGAAACCACTCTATTAGACAACATAAACATAAGAATATACAACACAGATGCTATACACCTATGTCTTAAAGAATTATTGAATAGATAACACATAACCGTAACATATTTTAGGGTAACAATATAACACCGATACATTTATTTCCGTATTTCCAATTCCAAGTTAAAACATCAAAGTATTTAACGATGATCTAGAGGAAACATATTTGTATATTTGTTTGTAAGAACAAACCTCACCAAACTATATCAAGCAAAAAAACAAAACAATAACGTAAATAATGAATTAAGTGACCTAAGCTACATACATATAACTTCTCGTTTACCAGAATAAAAACAAGTGAAGATCATTCCTTCGCTCAGGAATATACAAAAAACTTTAGATAATGATTATGCGGGATACAGGTTCATCCACAATGTGGTAGTCTAAAGTTCGTTATTTAGAAAACTATTCTTATTTTATTTAATTATTTACGTACCAGAAGCTTTTCTAAAGAATTACCAATTTCTTTGGTTTCGAAAGACAAAAAATCTGGCTCATCTGACGTTAAGTGAAACGCGCGTTCACACTGCCAGGAGGCTCGCAAGTGCGTTGCTGGTCTTTTAGGAATTGGTACGCTCTTATTTTGAAGGACCCTAATTCGAATTGGTTCGGAAATACTTAAGCGGTTCTGGTTCCACACAGAGAGATTTACCGGCACTTTCTAAATCAGCGCTTTTAATAATTGCTTTATTGCCCAGGTCCAAGGAATTGGAAAAAAGCACTATCAAATGTAATATTGTGTCTCTTGATCCTGTTCTTTGCTTTATGTTTGAGAACTTAAGTATCCATTTATTTATTAAGTCAATCTAAACATACTTAGTACTTAGCTTGCGTTGAATAAGCAACTTGAAGTCTTTCTCATCTGTCCGAATCTCTGCAGTCGAACCTTGTATTTCAAAACCGATCTTATCAATGCAAAATAGATTTTTTGAAACTTAAAGCACTTTAATAACTTTACAATTTCTCCGAACATTATTTAATAGGTGATGTCTTCTTTTTTAATGTGTTATTAGAAAATCATTAAATTACTATATCAGCCTCGAGGATTGCTGAAAATAAATAAGTGGGAGTATGTTGGTGTGTATTGGGTTCAAGTTCAGGCGAGGCCAACGACCCGCGTGACGTCACACGTCTTGTCTACCAGCCACAACCGCCTACACCATATTCAGCCTCTACTATATACTTTTGCACATTACCCCAAACAATCTTGTACTCAATAATCTGTAGTTATCATAATCCAAATCTTCTTCACTTTCAGAATATTTTTATGTTCTACCTATTAACTTTTATTTGATTCGCAGTATAACCTTTGTTAAAATATCAATATTAGTAATAAAAACGTATAGTTATATTGATAATTAACCTAATAATATGTCAAAAGCTTTAAAATTCAAACTAAAATCTGAAAGGGAAAAATCTTTGTAGGTATTGGCTGCGACGTTTTGCATACAATTTAAGTAGGTAGAGCGATAAGGAGTGTAGAACGCCTGCGAGAGGGCGGCGGAGCGGGTCGTATGTAAAACGGCTCGGAAAATCCATAACGCGCCGCGGAAAACCCTTTTAATATACGGCACGTAAATAAGCGCGGGGGCGGCGCGGAGCGGGGCGGCGCACCACGCGCTGTGATTGGCCGGTCGGGCCCCGCCCCGCGCGCGCTGAAAAACTTGCGGAAAAACGGTGCGAGCGCGCGCCAGTGCCTCTCGGACTCGCTCGGTGGGCGGACGCCACTCGCGCTAGAGACGGCGCGACCACGGACCGGCGGCCGCGGCCGCGAAATGCCCGCGCTGGCCCTGCGCGACCAGCCGCTCGACTGCTCCCTGCGCCTGCGCGCCTCCACCACACCGACCTGGCGCGACCACCCCCACGGTCAGTCTCTGTTCTCTCCCCTACTGTTCGTTCGCGCTACTCACTTAACCGCCCGTGATAACTGATAGTGCTAGTGATCCGTTTCGATGCATCAATTTCTATTTGATTATCATTCGCTGCGCACAAGTAAGTAGAAGATTCATTCATTTTTATCGGTGCGGATCATGGATGTGGAAAAATACGCGAGGTGGTTCCCGTGCGCGTTCAATGTTTCGAAGAATCGCTAAGTGATTTTTAATTAATAACTTCACATAATGTGAGAAATCTTAAACTATTTCGGATAATTTGCATTAGACAATTTACTATATCGCATTGGACATTATATTTCCAATAAATACTTTTAAAGTGACTTCAATATTAACAATAAATTTCGACTTTACTAGTTGACCCATTACTCATAGAAATCATTCCAATTGTAGTGTTCTTTCTTAACCCTGCTACAAGTACCAATATGTCAGGTGCGTAATTGATAGCACACGTGGTGTTCACATAAAGATGTGTCAACAAGCCGATAATCCCGGAAGGGTTGTCCCCTCGCAATATTAACTCGCAAGAATCCAAAACGTCTTTGACCTGTACCCCGTAGGATCATTCAATTTTTCGTAATACGAGTAATGGTACTGATGGACTTTCGCCCCTCGCTATGTCTTTTGATAACAGTCCTTTGATAGTGCTGAATGCTCACCCCCAACAAACTTGCTAAATTAAATTTGTCATTTACTTCTCATGTGAATTTAAAATAATTTATGGATAGAAAAGTCGATATACATATTAAAAATCCATTATAATTTTGAATATATAATATTTGTACTATTCTATAATAAAGGGTTTGGACAAATAAACGTTTAATCAGAATGAAGGTAAATATAACAAAATTTATTACTTTGGACCGTGAAAATTACAATTAACGTAGTGCCTACTTAATTTGATCTACTTTCATACAATTAATCAGTGGTAGCATAGAAAGTAATGTCTGCAACATAGTTAAATATTTATAATTATTTTTTTCTTACCAAACTAATATAAAGTGACAAAAAAAAAACAAAAAGATTTGGCTCTCAATAAAATCTACTTTCCTTTATAACTTTGACTTTAAAATGCAGACAACAAAAATAAATTTATGTTCTAAATATGAAGCAAACGTCAGAAATTCTGGCTTATAAGCTATGTTTAATTATAAAGCCTATTTTTTCTTTGTCGTTGTGTTTGTTGTGTGTATTACAAACTTGAATCAAAACGTCAACAGTATGTAAAGGTCAAAAGCAACCCACGGGACGGGAGCCCCGAATTTGTGTTATGATTATAGTTGATATCAATTACCGAATATAATCGCGACTTATGTCCGGTGTATGAGAGAGCGGTGAACTTTGCGGGATCACGCGAACTTACCCACGCACCTGTACACGCATTTCGATATAATAACAGTTCTCTTATTATAATTATTATGCCATGTGTTTTGCCGCGACCGCTATGAACGAATTTATTGTGCTACTTATAAGCGTAAAGCCAAAAGATTGCGTCAGTCAAAAACAAATGAACAAAGTTATAAACTAAATTCTTTGACGTTCGAACGTCATAATTAACATATAAACAACATTAAAATATAAACTAAAAATTAGTATAAGTAAAAAAGGCGTGAAAAAAATCATTCAGAAACAAATGATTAAAATTTTATTATTAAATTTAATTATTTGAAGTTTGAAACATTATTTTATGAATAATATATTGTAATATGTCATAGTAAATACTAGAAATGTCTCGTGTAAGGGGGAACTCTGCCAGTATCTTCGGAACCTTTCCTAAAGTGGAGTCCCTTTTAATAATATATTTAAGTTATTGTATGTATTATATTTTTTAAGGTTATTAAGTAGGTATTACTTTTATATTCTGTAATTTGGTTTTTAATCTTACATATCAGGTAGGTAATAAGAACATGTACATGTACTTTACAAAAATTCTGTAGATTTTTACGAGTTATTGATTTTCAGTGAGATGCTTTTTTATAATTTTATTAAATTTAATTATTTTATAACCAAACCCTTAACCTTTAACTTTGTGTACATTAATACATTAAGAAAGTGAAACTCTGTATTAATAAAACAATTTTATAATTTAATAACTACTATATTTCATTTAAACGAAACTAATATCAAAATGGAACCATAAGATGCTAATTAATAGACACGTAATTTATATTGTTTAGTTACTTGATCATTAACATATTCAATTTTTATTTTTAAATATTTTAGTAATTACGCAGTAGCGCGTATTATAATTTTTGAAGTCGCGACGGCCGGCGCGTACGCAACGCGAGCATTTATAAAGTATTTTTGAATAATGAGAGCTGATTGCATTAGCATATTAATAAAGCCTCATTAAAATAGCTCTGCATAATGATATTCATAATGATTGTTCTGTTTCATTGTATAATGGGGTTTTGTTCACGGTTCATGTTAAGCGATCATAAGACTGATCTACAATCTCCTAAAGCAGTTAAAATTAAAAGTTCACTGCGATTTTTCTCTAATGAAACTACTAATATACAGATTTACGTAGTACAGTGATTATCTAGCAAAGAATACTTTGCAGAGTACTTTGAATCTTAATGTGTAAAAAAGAAACTATAATTTATAATGTGCAAGTGTAATTATTAGGAGAGCGAATAAAAAATTAATTAGTGCACAACTAGCCAAAATTGTTTGTTAAAATGAAAGCTTGCGTTATTTAGTATTTGGATAATGAAATCTGTTTTCATTAACAATTTACCTGCTTACATAATGTTTATTGTTAACACTCGGTTTGGTCGGAATTTAGTGGGAGTAAAGGAACAGGGACACAAGACGAACACACAAACAGGGATAGAAAATAATGTATAAAATGTAAAAAATCTAAGCTGTGTATTATAACTTTTTTGTCACCATTGGAAATTAAAAGGGCTTATAATTATTATTATTATAAAGGAACAGGGAAATGAGGAATACCTATATACAATACATATATGTTATAATTACTATTGACAATGTTAATAGTAACTTTTATTTACCTAATCTTACATCTATATCTGTTCCTTATACGTTTTAGATTTGATATATTCTGTTCCATTCTGGCTTGTCCATGATTTGTTACAATCAACTCGGAGTTCAACGATTGTAATAGTTTTTTTTATTAGCGGTTAGCCATAGAAATGTAAAGTAAATGAGGAGAGTTCTAAGAATGAGTAAGTGGAGGAAAGGCAGGACAAGCCACTTGTTAACTCCCACGAAATTCCCCGCAATTATTCAGTTATTCCGACGGGGAACTTAGACACGCATACCAACTCATGTGGGCTTTAACCGACAACAATAATACGACCAATTATCAATAAATATTGTTTTAAACAAATGAGAGTCAGCCTACGTCCCAGGCTTATAACCTGACCTGACAGAATTAAAAGCGGCTAAAATACACAGGTATCCGCTAACTACGACAATCTTTAGTCCATTTCTACTCTACAGCCATGAGAAATAATTATTTGCTTCTAACTTGAGGGTAACCTTTCCACATATACTCTAGATGCTGGCACTTTGTACTTTAATATAAGCTTCCCGCAAAACGGCAATTAGAAGTTCTCAAAAACACTTATTCTCTTAGAATAACTGTTGAATATATTGTTGTAAAAAAAAACTATTACTACGTATTTTCATTCGGTCATTTGCAAAATTCTGTTGTTGCTGTCTCTGTTTAACGGATTTTAGAGATAGCTATGTTTTACTGACCCAATCGCGTTAATTTAAAAGTTATAGTTAAACAGTATCAGGATATTATATATATAACTAATATTGTACAATTGTACATTTTTAATAAGTTTTTTGAGGTATTACATCAAGGCTCTGTTTCAGTTAAATGATATCTTTTGTTATAAATTACATCAATTAATCAATTGAAACTTTATTTATCCTATAAAGGTATCGAATAGATTAACGGTAATTTGATTTACATTTAATATTCATAATTATCATTTGGTATCAATGAAACTATTCTAATTGCGGACAAAACTATTGGAATGATAATGTAAAATCTAATTATAAAATCTTTAAGAACGTCATTTGTTTTTACATACATAAATAACAAAATAGCTGGGGTATTCCTATGCTTATGGATAAAAGCTCACGACAAGTACAAGACCGGGAAGACAGTTTTAACATGTATAAAAAGTGTACGCTTAAGAAGAGCAGTGTTGGCCTAGTGGCTTTAGCGTTCGACTCTCATCCCTGAGGTTGTAGGTTCGCTTCGATATTGGTATCTCTGAGCACCAATGGCCTTTTTTCTATGAGCGCAACACTTGCGCGTTCGTTGAAGGAAAACATCGTGACGAAATCAGCATCTCTAATCAAAAATCGACTGCTTCCACATTTGTCTATGATAAGACAAATAAACGATGATAAAAACGGTTGCAATCTGAGGCTAAGACCAATTAAGGGTTGTAGCGCCACTGAATTATTATTATTAGGGTTAATAATAATATTATTAAATAAAATCTATTATTATAGCTATTGTTAGTACCTACGTCGGCGTCTTCCGGATTTTCACTTATAAAACTCATATTGTATAAGTGTTAAACCAAATATGGTTTTAAAGTTAAAAAATAATTACACTGTACGGTTTCTATTCGGTATTAAATGAAGCGATTACAATTGTTTATTTCGACACACTTTATTTGGCAGTTCGTTACTATAAAACTTGTACAATATAAAGGTGGGAACTGACCAAAGTTACGAGGTGTAATGTATCACTCCATCGAGCCTGTTACGCTGTGTTCAAAATCGGCGTAACATATCGTCAAAACTCTGTGCTCCGCTTTCGCCACCAGTTTCGCGAGATGCCGACACAAGGACGTGTGATATCTTTCATTATATTTCATTATTGTTTCATCCAAATTAAGAAGAAGAAGAAGAAAAATGTTACTACAAATTATTTAAAAATACAGGCTTATGAGGTGGTTTGTTATTGATTGCAATATTAAAAAACCAAAAGATTACTGGACAGTATAAAAACTTTGTACGCATGTTCGATTTTGAACTGTTGA